TTTTTTTTTTTTTTTTTTTTTTTGTTCTGTGTTCGAGAGGAGGATCGTTTTGAAGGAGGAAATGACGAGTTTTTATTTATTTTTATTTTTTTTTGGTATCCCAAAATTGTGTCCTTACTTAGGCTTTGTGTTGTGTGACCAGCATTGTAAGGGTGATGTCCTCCACGTAAAAGGGGTGTGATTTTGGTGCTCTTAATGTTGTTCTATATTTGGTCAATGTTGGGATTTAATTTATTTTGACCATGTCTTCCCTTTGTTTGGTTGGCCACATACGTCGCTGATTCTGTTGCACAATAGCCCCTCCCAGAACATGTTTTTAATCTGCACCTTAAAAAGAGGGGGAGATTGAGGAAAATAAATAAAATTGAGGGACTTGCCTGAAATAAAAAAATATCCTTTCCTTATTTAAATTTTTTATTAATATTCTTTAATTAAAAAAATAATACTCCTACCATTAATACCATGTTTAAAAAATATTCTTAAAAAATTCTTACTGTCAATGCAGTCAATACAAGGATGAAAATTGTTTAATATCATATTTAAAAAATATTCTTAAAAAATTCTTACCGTCAATACAGGGATAAAAATTGTTTATTTACATCCCATACATTATCGTAAAAAAGACAAAGAAACGTTTATCCTTTATTATGTAGTATTAAGAGTTCTCTCGGTTAATGACTTTTTTCTAAAAAATCAAGAGCATAAATATTATTTTTAAAGTTTTTGAATATTATTTTTAAATTTCATCTATAATCGAACAACAATGATATTTTTAAAATTTAAAAAATGTTTAAGAGTATTAACTCAGACTTCTGAAAGCTAAAAAAAATATTTTTGAAAGTCTTTTAAAAATTTAACTGTATATTTGAAACAAATTATTAACAATTTTATTTGAAACAAATTATTAATTATTAACGATTTCCATCTATTTCCCATCCATTATTTGGGATTATAATATTTTTAAACTTTTTTTCAAGTTTAAGGATGAACCTAAGAGTGTAGAGGTTGAACCTAATGGATTTAATAGGGGACGAAATCATCCTAGAGAACAACACGGTTGAAGTGATCAAATCAATAAATTTGAGAGTGGAACTCAATCTCAAAGACAAGAATCCACGTCAACTTGAGTATAATTCAATTAATTAAGACTCTACCAGGCGTGTTAAAGAGTTGGAATACTACTCCGACACGTTGAGCTCTTAAAAGAAACATAAAAAAAATAAGACACGAGCCAACATAAACCATAAATATTTCGAATAAATTACTTCAATTTTTTTGATCACTCAATCAATGCATTACTTGAGTGCAAATAGTGCAATGATTTCACTAGGTTTTCTTCAAATGGGGAAGCCCTAAGAATCTGCAAATGCAGCCATTACCAATATCCAGAGAATGAGAATAAAAATGCTTCCATTAAATCAAACTACCAAAATAGATTGCAGTTCAAATTGAAAAACACAAATCCATTGTAATTCTAAATGCATTCACGTTAGAACATAGTACACATGAAGAAATGATTCAATCCAGTTGGTACAAGATGGGTTTACTTTTTGTTTGAACACTAAAGAAAGAAAGAAAGAAAGAAAGATTCCACTGGATAGGATCATCCTTTTGTAATTTCATTTCATCCATGAATGGTTTGTATCCTATCAAAAGAAGAAGAAAAAGAAAGAAACAAAGATTCTTGACAGAGCAAACAAGCTCCCCAGTTCAACTAACTGATGGAATATTCTCTATTCCAGCCTTTTCCATTAGACAATAAAGGACTGAGATTGCAAGTGATACGTGGAAATCACTGCAAGAGGAATAAGATTCGGATTACCTTGTTGATTGAATATCTCAAGGCAAGAACATTGCTTGAGATTCGAATCACTCCACAAGCAAGATCCATCATGTCTAACTTGAATGATTCTTGTTGATTAAATATCTCAACGCAAGAACACTTGTTTGAGATTCGAATCACTCTACAAGTAAAATCGATCATGTCTAGCTTGAATGATTCTTGTTGATCAAATATCTCAACGCAAGAACACTTGTTTGAGATTCGAATCACTCCACAAGCAAGATGGATCATGTCGAGCTTGAATGATTCTACATGCAACCTAAACTACATAGAATTGCAAAGAAACTTAGCTATCGACAAAAGAAAGCACAAATGCTCTTTTTACTATATTTTTAAGTCTGCTCAAGTCTGCTTATAAATACAACATAGATGGCTCTATATAGCTTAAAATGAAACTATCAAAGACATTCCAAGAATTGTGACATTTGGTAATAATCAACCATAATGTAAATGTAACCTAAAGTAAATAAAATGTCTTAAAATACATTAATGAAATACAATAACGCTAAATTACTCTAAATTGTAATCCACCCAAAATTTATAACAATAAAACTTTATTCTTGGCATGAATTGAAATATCTTTTGATAATTTCAACAACATTTTCTTTGCATCTTCATTAAAATATAGTGTATGATTGATGTCTCTCGATCAAGTTAACTGATCAAGTTCATCAAGTTAAGTTCATATCATCAAGTTCATCAAGTTAACTGGAGGATGAAGCAACAATCAATTCCAAGGAATATGGATTTTTCTATAAGGAGAAACTGGCCGAACAAAAATTGAGCGTTCAAGGGAAGATTTACAAGATTGAAACATCGAACTTAAAAGAACAAAGGGGTGGCTTCATAACCCATTTCAAATATGAAATTACTCCACATAGTATATCAATATAAACATCCTCAATCTATCAGATTCGAATTCAGGCAATAAAGAGATCAGAAATCAAGAGAGAAGGCAAGTGGAAGATCAAAGTTTACTAGAAATTAAGAACTTTCTTTCTGTTACAGATCACAAGAAATAAGTATATCCATTCATCAATCCAGGTCCCTAAAAATATACACGTCAAACCTCATTTATCAAGTTCCATTGCCTGGGCTGCTTTTGCCTTTGCCGCTGCAGTCAACTTGGTCTTCACTTTTTTCTTCCCAACTTGAAACCCAGCTCCACCCTTCTTTTTCTTTCCACTACCATCAACCTATGCACATAATTAAACGAAAACAATGACATTTTCGAATGGTATTAATATACACAGACATGTTCAAGAAAGGCAAACGAAATTTGATATTCATCCAGTTGGCCAATTGCTCAAAAAATCACACAGTGGGAAGACAGATTCACATCTCTTACTACCACCAACAGAGTGATGTATTCTTGGAGCAGAAACTATTTGCATAGCTTTAGCTCCGCCCCAAGGTATCATTTCTAATATATTTGTGGGGCAAGTAAAGTGCTCCTCCTCAGGTCCATCGTCGTCAACTATCCATGACCTGCCTTTTTAGAGAGCAATACCACCCGGCAAAGAGGGAAAGCTATAGGCATTAGCAGACAAGGCAAGCAAAGGCGTAGGTAGCAGATCTACCAGCATCACTATCGGTCAACTTCAAGTGCTTAATTTGCTCCATCAACAGCAATGACTGAAGCGGCTGCAGGAAGATATGCAGCATATGTCTCTAGTGATGCTTCAACCTTCGTTTCTGCAAGCTCGAAAATTGGAAAAACCAAAACAAGCTCTGCCTTCCCTCTCCATCTATCCATCTATCCAAGGGGTGGAAGAGTAGAGGCCCTTGCTTAGCTTTAGCTCCGCCCAAGGTATCATTTCTAATATATCTGTGGGGCAAACTCGGACACCGGAAAAACCTAAACAAGTTCTGCCTTCCCTCTCTATTTATCCAAGAGATGGAAGAGCAGAGGCCTTTGGTGTCCTCTACAGTTTACTAGGGCCTCACAGCCACTAGCCATTATACTTTTCTCTCCATTATTCATCCTAATGAACGCATCTCTTGAGAGTTTTGTGATCAGAATGTGTGAAAACTAGAACATTACTCGAATGAGCAAATTTCCAAATTACCAAGTGAAAAATCAAAACAGAGACAACAATCCATCTCTCTCCATAACTCTCAATTTCTTTTTAAATCAGCAAAACAGAAAACTCCACTTTTCTCGATTCAATACAGAGATAAAGAGAGAGAGCGATACCTTCATCTTATTCTTCTTTGCTTGGAGCTTTTTCGCCGCCTTTTCTTTTTCCTGTTTCTCCCCTAATCAATCCGCCCATGGAAAAACATTAGCATAAGAACCACGAAAAAGTGAATCAATTGAAACAAACAAATGATTTGAGCAATTAATTTAACACTAAAAGTTACTTCGAAGGTCGAATTCATGTTGATTCTTCCTGCGCGAAAGATTATTTTTCTTCGACATTTTGTTGCGCCCCGGCCGCCGGAAATTTCCTCGATTTGCCGCACGTCACCGTTTTCTTAAACCCTAACCCGATATTTACTCAGCAACTGCACTGAGGTTACTCTTATACCAAACCGGGTTGGCCCATGCTGTTTTTTTCCTCTCTCTTTCTTTTTTTTTTTCCCAATTATATTTTTAAAAAAATCACTTATTAATTTTTAATGTTACTCGAAAAAATTATTTAAAGAAATATAAATTTTTATTAACTTATTTTTCTATGAAATGATTTAAATTTTTATTACAATAATGATAATTAAATTGTGAAATTGAATTTTTTAAATAATAAATACCAAATTTAGAAAATATATTATTTGATACACTTACCAATATTTTATTTGAATTTGTGTTCGCTTTAAAATTTTATTTTTATTAAAAATTTAAAATTATGCCATTTTGCCAATTTAAAATTATCTAAATAAAATAATTGTTCACTCAAAATTCTATTAAATGAATGAGATTTTTTTTTTTTTTTTTTTTTTTTTTTTTTTTTTTTTTTTTTTTTTTTTTTTTTTTTTTTTTTTTTTT